GGGAGAACTTGCACAATTGGTGGCTGACTAAATACTTTTTTGCCCCACTGTATAAGACGTGGTAAAATGAAGACCCTGGATTGCTTTTGGCAGAAATATTCTCAGACAGGCCAGCTGTGACTATGAGATTAAGCAGAAGCAAATACCGAGGATTTTTTTTAAAAAAAGAACCCCAAATCTAAAATAATTTGAAAATCAGGTTGGCAAACAAGGTTTGAGTTGACTGGAAAAATAGATGCAGTATAAATGGGACCTAAGCCGTATCATCCTCTCTTTCTCTGTGGGTTTAAGGAATTGATGCCATATTTGGTGAGTTCTGTGGTTTATCTTTGCATTTTATGCCTCCCTCCTCCAAGAATAGGTGCTGTCTCCTGTCATTCTCTCTCGCAGATTGATGCTTACATTTGACAGAACTTTAACCCTTCCACTTTTCATGTTCCTTATTTATAAAAGCCTAGCTAGAATAATCTTCATATGGTGATATGAATCATGATGGCCTATTGAGATTCAGTTTGGTATAGTGACTAGGATCCTGGACTAGAACTGGGAGGGTATGGATTTAGTCCTCCAGTAGGAACGAAAGCTGAGTGCTATGCCTAAGTGATGTATTTTCATAAAGATATGGAACACTTTTAACCATGTTAATTTTTGCTATAACAAAACTGGGTTTTTTGTTTCATCAAAACCCAGACATTGTATTTTATTTTTCACTGTAGCTGTCTGGCCCCATTTGTAGTTACCCCTTTATCCCTTTTCTCTCTTATCTAATTGACTGTAACAATTAACCCTTAGACCACTATCACTGGAAACTTTTTAAAACACTTGGATCTTATTAAAACTGCAGCATATAAATATCAATGCAGTGATTTAAGTATAAGTATTTCCTTTTTTTAGCATCGGAGTGGAAAACAGATCACATTCAAACGCCTTGAAGTTTTTTTGGGAGACTCTCGGCGGAAACACAGAGATGATGTCCGTCTGCGGCGCATGGAACATAAGCCTGGGCAGCTGATAATGCCTGATGGACACAAGCTGGCATTTGCTGTACGAATTGCAGTGTAAGGAACACTTCATTCTCTGTATAATTATTTTAACAGCAGTTTGCTTCTACTGCTTTTAAATGTACAAAACTAATAGTGTGTGAAGTAAGTATGGTATGTTCTCACCAATAAGGGAGTTGGAGATTGTAAAAGAATTATCTAAGTGGCTCATTCCCCTTGAATTGACATACTTTTGAGAAGAAAGCTCTTTCACTGACAGTTGGAATTGTTAAGGACTAGCAGGGAATTTATTTAGAAAATTAAAATTGCAGATGGCTATAATCTATTCTGTATGTAACACTTCTACCATTATATATTTTACTGCATCTGGCCTTATGGCTATAATAAACTGATTTGATTTGATTGTTCTGCTAGAACGCAGACCCACATGCTCAGATAAAAGGCTACTTTTTATAGGACTAGTGAGCTTGGGAAAGCGGAGACCACTCTGTGGTGGTAGAAAAGGTGACAAATGAATGATTTGCCATGCTTAGCATAGGCAAGCATTCCCCCTGACCCCCAAATTGAGCATCTTCTAAATCCTAGTGCAGCAGTACACATTACAGTGATACTGATAAATCTCATGGTAGCACTAAAGATTATTAACTGAGTACTTGGTTAAAACTGAGTCCTCAATTCTAAGATTTACACCAGTATTTAAATATAATTTTCTGGTTTTCAGCTTCTAACATGTCAAACCTTTAAGTCGGGCCACTTTATACTCAAGCTGGTGCTTTCTATATGGTTTAACTATAATTTCTAGAATTCCAGATGACATGGACTTTCTTTGAGCTAGAGTCTCAAATCATTTGGAGAGTATATAGTTGGGGAAGGACTTGAAACCTGTAATTAATAATTGCATGTGGCCTTTCAAGAGATCTAGCTCTGAGAATAGCTATTGAACTAAAAGGATTTTAGTTTTGTGCACCATTGGCAGATACCTGTTTTTTTACTTTGATGGAAAATTCATTCCAAGATGCAGATTTATCTAATTTGTTTCTTTTGATTTAGAATTAAAGGAGTAAGTCATCGAGTGCGACATGTGATACAGAGGCTGAGATTAAGAAAGATTTACAGTGGCACATTTGTTAAATTGTCACCAGCTTCACTAAAAATGCTGCAAACAGTGGAGCCTTATGTGGCATGGGGGTTAGTATATCTTGTTCTTTATTATGTAGAAGTCTGATAGATGGTGAAGCCTAAGAATGATAACTTAGTTCACAATTGTTCTTCAATTTTTCTCTATATATTTGTCTTTTAAAAATTAAACTTTTGGATCATGCTATACCTATGTTACCTTTGGAAAAATTATGGTCTTCCGGAGGCTAAAAACCTGGACTTAAGTTAGCCAAAATAGTAAGTGAAGTATAATTAGAAACAGATGTGAATGTTTAGTGATTATTACCAGGCAATAAACTGGGATATTCTGTGCATAGTTTGAATGGAGTTGTTTTTGTTATCTGAGGAATTAATGTCTTAATAATATACAGTTTATCTTGGTATTAAACTACATACTAATAGATTACATTCACTATTTTTATTGTGTATGAATTATTTGGGATATTGCACATCTTCAATTACACTCATGGTAATAAATTGATGGAACAATCCAAATTTTAGGCTATACGTCTGACATTGGAACGTTGATGTATTCAGCTGGCAGAAAGAAAATAAGAATGGAAATGATGTATTATCTTTCTGAAAGGGCAGTTTAAGAAGAAATCCTCACAATTGTTCATGTTCTTTGTAATATATAAAAATGTAATGTCTTAACAAAAGTTAGGTTGCAAGAATATATAGTATAGTACTTTCCATTTTGGATCAATTGTTTGGACAAATCATTCCATTAAGAATAGGTTGCAGGTTGTGTAAGTTTTTGTTATTTCTGAAATTATTGTTAGATTTATATTTACAGGTATCCCAATCTTAAATCTGTTCGAGAGTTGATATTGAAACGAGGCCATGCAAAGATCCAAAATAAAAAAGTTGCTTTGACAGATAACATTCTGATAGAGGAACATTTGGGTAAGGTATCAAATGGAATGGGATGATGGTGAAGATTGCCCAAAACCTTTGAGTGGTATTTCATTTCTAAAACTGCTTTTTTCTCTCCATAGGAGAACATGGCATTATTTGTCTGGAAGATGTTATTCATGAAATTTATTCTGCTGGAAAATACTTCAACGAAATCAATAAATTTTTGTGGCCCTTCCATCTGTCTGTGGCTCGGCATGCAGCCCGTAATAAAATGGGGTTCCAGAAAGAGATTGGTAATCCTGGATTTCGAGGCAATGAGATTAATCAGCTCATACGTCATTTGAACTAGATCTGGGTAGGTACTGCAGTGTCTTGCCAACTTTTTTGGCACTGAACTTGGCAGGTGGCAGCACACTAGACTGATATGTCAAAACAAATCTTCCCAGAAACAGCACTGGTAAACCATGTCTGCCAAGAAAACAATACAGATGTCTTCATGAAGTCACCAGATGTCAAATTCAGATTAAAAGAGATGTCTTTTTTTTCAGTCTTGGCAGTGGATTCTTTCTAAAAGTGCAATTGTTCAGAAAGGTAGATTACTCTTAAGAAATACTTACTGTGTCTCAAGATTGTAACATTTTAAAATGGTCTTATCTATGACTACAGGTAACAGTAAGGATCTCTATTTCTCATGCTTTCATTGAGCTAAAGCTTTTTCTTTGGTGTGTTGTATTAGCCTTCCCCATCCTTGCTTCTTCTGTATTTTGAATTAGAGTTCCAATAATACTGACTATTGGTTTTGTTTGCCAAGTTCGGGGAAGAGCACATAATAAATGGCCAAATGGATCAATACCGTGGCCAGTTATAAAAGAGAACCCTAGAATTGTTCATACAGGTAGTCCTTGGTTAACAACAGTAATTGGGACCAGAATTTCTGTTGCTAAGTGGTGCAGTTATAAAGCATAATGCCACATTACCGTGCCACTTAGCAACAGAAATTCCAGCACTTTGGGTTGCCATCGTTAAGCAAATCACCATGGGTCATTAAGCAAGACATCATAGGATCACTATTTTGATCTGTTGCTGGCTTCCCCATCGACTTTGCTTGTAGGAAGCCAGCAAAAAAAGTTGCAAATGGCAATCATGTGACTGGGATACTGCAGTGTTGTAATTGTGAGCTGGGTGCCAAGCACTCAGATTGCAATCATGTGACTTTGGGGACACTGTGACCGATGTAAGTACGAGGACCAGCCATAATTGCTACTTGTTCAGCACCATCGTAAGTTTTGTTGCTAAATAAGTGGTTGTTAAACAAGGACCACCTGTATTGTGTTATCCTCACATCAAGATCCTAATAAGCCATGTGCAGAAATGGCAGAGGATTCAAGCCAAGGTTTAATCTATTGAATGTTATATTCTATATAAATCCAGCTGTATTTTAAATATGTAAGTTCCATTTATGTGAAATGTACCCAGTTTTAACCAGTTAGCTCTTCAGAATTTGCAGTATTGTCATAAAGTTACATCTTGCCTACAACTTCCTTTCAGACTTGCTTTCAGTTCATTTTTAACATATTTTAAAGCAGTAGCTTTCTTAGAATTCTTTGTCAGGAAATAAATGTCGTTTAGATGCTTTAAAAAGTAATCTGTATGTTCTGTTTTTCAGAAAAGTGTTTTCAGAGGAAGTTCTGGAAGATACTTATTTGTACTCCATGATGTACATTCATTTTCCAGCAGCTTCTGAGATAATATGGCATAGTATTTTCATAATTTCAGGAGGAAAACCAAGGTAATGGAGCAACTAGGCTTCAAGTGAATTGATATCACTTAAAAGCAGCAAAGTATAATTCTGTGTATTGAACATGGAAAAACAGAAGAATTTGTAAAATCTCAGACATGTGAAGCATTTATGATCCTTGATCTCCAAATTAATATATATTAAAGGACAATGGAGAAAAGATTTAAACCATAGTTCTGCTTCTTGCTTGGAGCTGAACTATATGTACCTTTAGTAATAAAGTGGAAATATTTCTTGTAATATATTTTCTTCCAGTCCAAGCACACTACTGTGTTAACATATTAAGACATAACAAATCAAATATAACTAAACCTGGTGAAATGTTTGGACTTGTATAATATCTAGTACAACTCTGGTTCAGTGTTTGATCAGACTTGATGGCTAGTCCCCTTTTCTAAAATAGACAGTTTTAATCTGTCTATTTAAACAGTTTTAAACAGTCCTTGAACTGTTTGTATGAGTACACAATGAAATACATTTTCTTAAAACTGCTTGTTGAATGGTTTGTTAGTATATGTTGTAACAAATGCAACTTGGAAATTCTTACCAGGACTGATTGAAACGATGTTACTTAATAAGTTTTAACTACTCTGAAAAAGAGATTGTTGTTCCTATTAGTCTTGCTTCTAAGAGACCACAATTAAATTTTAGATTAATTAAACTTAAATAGAAAAACTGAGGGACAATAAGCAATGCAACCTGATGTAAACACTTTCCTACATGTTTCCTACTTGACATTCATGTAAAACTATTTTATAAAAAATTGTAAAATATCCTTTTGAGAGTTCAATTTTTGTGCTTAGAAAAGATAAATAATGCAGTAAAATATAGCTAAGTACTCACATTCCTTTGGCTTAGTTTATATATGATGGGTTGAATCAGGGATGAGCACAAAATAGAAAACTTTATTTTGAATCCAGAGCAAGCCATTATGTTTCAGAAGTTCTGCAGAACTACTTTTGACTCTGTTTGGCAAAACCAAAATACAGTGTTTTGGTGGTTCTGGAGTCCAGTGAAACAAAATCCAGAAAAGGCAAGGCTGGTCTATCAATCCTGCATATTGAAAATTGCTTTTGGTGACTTGGACCTTCCGCTACCAAGGAGGTAGAGTTGATAAAAACTTCAACCTTTTTCAAAGTAATGCTTCATGTTCATCAGGTTTGCTAAAATTGTATTTGATGTAAAACCGGAATTCAAAATATATGTGTAATTTCTGATAGTTTATACTGCTTATCAACAGCCATATTACCCTTAGCTGTATAGGAGTGGCATCTGGTGGAAAGTTCAAGAACTGTTAAAGCACCAGTAAACATAACTACAGTAGCCTTAGAAAAAGTTATTAACACTTGATTATAATAGACAACACTGGGTAGCAACCAGTGTGGCAAATTTAAAAAGTTGCATTTTAGATGTAAAATTTTACATACTGCCTTCGATTTCATAACTCTACAAATGGCAAATCTGACCCTACACTTCATGGACAAAAAATGATCTGGGAGGCAGATTCTTGGGGGCTTTGAAGGTAGTAGTAGTGCTGTGCAATACTCAGATTTAAAGGGAAAAGGAAGCTGGGTCCATGGATACCACACATGTTCCACAACATCTTTTTCCCTTTGAATCTAAAGGAAGGTACAGTAAGGGTTACCAAAAATTGCATTCAGAATCTTTCGATTCCTGAAAAGTGCAGTTTTTGTCACTTTTCATATAGAATCTATCCATCAGATAGATTTATTCCATTCCAGTTGAAACAAATTACTTTATCACCTTGAGTCTCCATTTTGTTCACTTGTGCTAAAATTGTCCTGTTTGCCCTAGAGCAGCAGTCACCACTGCTATATTTATTCATAACATCTTCAAAAGATACATTCCTAACTTGCGGGATGTGTTTGTATCCAATATGCAAATCAGATAGTTTATTTGCAATACACCTCCTTTCACAAGCAAATAGATACTTCACTAATTAGAATGACAAGACCAAATGAAAACTACATGCACATTATTTTTTTTAATAAAACATGACATTTACATTATAAATTCTATTACGTAGAAACCACTGACAGAATTCAGTTGTATATTGAAAGGACAGGATTCTAGTCATAATACTGTATATTTACAAGATGATCTTTCAATTCAGATAACCCAGCTGATACTTTAAAAAAGCAAACTTAATTACTATTGGGTAAGGAATCTTACAAAAGGACACATATACAATGCTATTTACTAAATCACAGCAAGGTGTCCTTTTTGTAGGCCACCATACTGTTAACTTTGTGTATTGTAGTTGTGAAAGAACGAAGGCGGACTTCTTCAGAATTAGTAATAAATTGTGGTCCTGATTCCTCCCATTTTTCTGGAACGGCCAAGTCTTTGTCTGTGAAAATGAGCAAATCAAATGCACCTGGAAGAAGCACAGATGAATTCTTATTTTGCTATATTTGCACGAGTCTGAAATAAACATCAAAACTCAATTGTTTGATTCTGAGTGCAATTTATGAACTTACGGCTTAGAGTAACAAAAGAACCAGTCAACTATACTCTAATTAAAAATCCTGGCTTAGCATGTGTGTCCCAGTTACAAAAATCATGGGAAACCCCCAAATTGTAACTCCTGGATTCTTCCATTGTGCTTTACCCATATTGCAACTTTAACCAGCTTCATATTAGCTCAGCTGGTTTCCAGCCATTTGGTCATGGGACTCATTTATGCCATACAGGATTCTTGTGAGAATTGCAATTAGATAATGCAAGTGAAGTGTTCCAAATACTGAAACTTATATTCTGTCATTAAGCAATATTACTTACAGGTAGTTTCTAACAAAGGAAGGAATGTCACTGTGGCTGTTATTTGTCTGATAACAGATTTGATTTCATCCTGTATAGCTTTCTGAGATTTCTGTCTTGGTGCACTAAAATAATAAAAGTTGTCAGTGCAAAAGAACATCAAACATAAATTAGAAACACTATTTACTACTATATTACCTGATTTCAGGCATGATAGACTAACTTCATAAATGATTAATCTGTCCCAGATGTTTACTCATACAACCATTAAAATCTGCTCTTTCTGTATTTTTTCTAAATTGTCTGATACATCCTCAGCAAGTATAAGCCTTATAGCCAAACCTAATAACTGCATATTTTGGCCATACCATTAATTATGAAGTCAACCTGCTATTTCTCTTCCTTTGAACACTCTTTCAGTGCTACTGATCACTCAAGTGAGACAAAAAACAGTTAATACAACTATCAGTGATAACAAATGTCAATATTTGTGAAACAGCTTCAAAACTCTTATTATGCCTGTATAAGATTTCCACAGCCACCCCCAATTAATGAACAAGAATGCTCTTGGTTCACCAACCTAGATAACATGTTGAGTGGGGATCCTATGTAAGAGCTGAATAATGTTAGAAACATTAGTAAAGCAAAATCCATGAAATGTGGGCAGGCTATACACCTTTGAGGTAGGGAGGAAATAACTTTGAATAAGACAAATAAAAACCTATATTTTCCATTGTTGGAAATAAATATTACACTTACTTCTCATTTTTTGCAGTTTTATCACATTCAATGTCAAATTGCCATCTTTCAAGAACTTCAGTGGTTTCCTTACTAGAGATCACTACCACCAGCCGCTGAACTAGGCATTCAGACAGCCATTCTAAGAAAAGCAAGAAGGAAGTTTTGTGAATTCTACAAATACAGAAACTATCAAATACATGTTACATATAAAATTCATTTAACTGAGTCAGTATTCCCATCAATTTCACATAAATTGTCAACCACATAAGCTATCTACAGTTCATATTAGATAAATGGTGCACCTGACCTGTACTGTTCCTATGCCTGAGAAATATTATAAGGCTGTAATATTCAAGAAATATCAAAGCTCTAAGCCATGGATACCTTATCTGTGACTCTTGTATCAACCCACAAACCATGGTCTATTCAGACTGTGGCTTAATATGCTGAGTAACAGAGAAATTCAAATACAACACAAGACATTCTTATCCATGTATTGTCGAAGGCTTTCACGGCCGTCATACGATGGCTGGTGTGGGTCTTCCGGGCTGTGTGGCCGTGTTCTGGAAGTTTTGTTTCC